GCTGAGAGAGTTGGGGCTGTTCAGCCTGGAGAAGAGAAAGCTTCAGGGAGACCTTATAGCAGCCTTCCAGTTCTTGAAGGGGCTACAAGAAAGCTGGGGAGGGACTTTTTACAAGGGCAGGTAGTGATAGGATGAGGGGTAACAGCTTCAAACTGGAAGAGGGGAGGTTTAGATTAGATATTAGGAAGAAATTTTTTACTGTGAGGGTGGTCAGACACTGGAACAGGTTGCCCAGAGAAGCTGTAGCTGCCCCCTCCCTGGAAGTGTTCAAGGCCAGGTTGGATGAGGCTCTGAGCAACCTGGTCTAGTGGATGGAAGTTGTCCCTGCTGATGGCAGGGGGGTTGGAACTAGATGATCTTTAAGGTCCCTTCCAACCCAAACCATTCTATGATTCTATTTTTACCCTTTTAGCTAATCAACTAAATCTTGAACAAATCAGAAAATTAAATTTCTTGTTTATTCATCTTATAAACATCCTATTTTAGTGATCAAGTTCCTATTGCACTTTCTCAAGTCCACATGTATACCCATCTAAGACCCTTGTAAGAAAACTTGTCATCAAGTGGCTTGGCACGTAGTATCACTAACAACCCATAAAGCCTATCAGACACGTCAGTGGAATGTTTCTCACAAATGGACCTTTTTCTAGCTGCATGTCTCAGCTGACACGTGTTTAGAAGAGAGAAAAGTTTTGTCAGAGTAACAATACCAGCTTTCTTTGCTATTGTAAGTAAACATCTGTAATATTAAATGTATTATAAACAGATGATGTTTTATCTTACTGTGTGTCAGTTTTCATACTGGTTTTTATGGAGAAATAGCCTTGTCACCTTGTTGAATGGCTGGAAGCTAGGCTGAAGCAATTCTCAATTTAAGTCACCTGTTTCAAACACTATATATATATAATAGAATATATTCGAGAAAACAAGTAATACTTTTCACTGTTAGTGAGAATAGCCTTATAAAATTTTTTTACTGAACAAAGCTATTTTCTAATCTGCTAAGATTTTGGAGGCTAACATAAACCAAGTTTGTTTGCAGCCAGATAATTTTTGTAAAATAACACTGAAAGTGATTTGTCTTTCTTTGTGACACTTCAGAAATCTAGAACTCTTATTTTGCTTCCTGCTACTAATTGTCTGCTCTGGATGGCTTAAGTATAGAGGGAAGCCAAAAAAGCCATCTGTGTGAAGAATGAAAAAGCCTAGTTGTTTTACTCATTTCCTGGGTAAAATGAAAAGCTGAAAGGTTTTCAGTGAGAAAACTGCTTAGACTGCACTAAGCCAGATGCATACAGGGAATTCAAAAGGAATAAGTGGAACAGAATTTTCTTAGTTCAGTGTAAAATAGTTGTATGGCAAATACGAAGAAACTACTTGCCCCTTTAAGCAGAGAATCTGAAGTTTTCCTGTAAATTTTCCAAATCTCAGGTTTGCTTTTCCAAATGTACTTATATGATGAATAACAAGATAATCTATCAATCAAAATAACAACAACAAAATCAAATGGTAGTAACATCGTTATAAATAAAAGCCCATAATACTAACTTGAAATAAATTTCTTGGCTTTAGTCCTTTTAAGAAAACCTAGGGTATCTTGTGTTAGAAAAAGCCAATCACTGAATGAGTTTTCAATCTGAGAAGCAGGATTCTTACATAATGCATTAGCACAGCACATCAAATTACAACAGATTTCGTAAGAAAAATTCCGGCCTCGATGAGCATATTTAACATTTGCCCCACAAACAAAAACTGCTTCATCCACATAATGTATTTTATAGCCAAACATATTTTAACACTTTATGCTGATATCCCTCTGTCAGTGGCACACACTGCTAACTCAACTTATATGAAATTACCCTGCTCTGGGGCTCTCTTTACCAAAATACAAGACAATACAATTTTACAAAAGGCCCTAAATATAAGTTCTTTCAGACATCATGGAGTGTTGCACTCTGCTGGAAGGACAGATTTCTAAGAGTAGATTATAATCTTGCCTCCAGAGTAGGGACTAACACACTACCACTTGTTATCTCCAATCTCCTGGCATCTCTACTTTGATAGCTTAGTCAGAAGTTAATTCCGATCAGCATAGCTCTGTCGACAGAACAGTAAACATTCCCACATGACTATGTATAGACTCCCAAGCAAAGCTAAACAGACTAACTTCCACATCAAATATGGTATTGTCAGGGAGAAGAAATAGATTAAGTAAATTTTAAAAACCCTCAATAATTTAGCTCCATTGACCCAGCCACATATAGTAAAGTTTGCAGGTACAATACCTAGACAGAGTAGTAAAATTCAAATACAAGATCTCTTGACAGCTATCAGGGGCGTGTAGCAACAATGGGTGTGCCTGTTCTCCCTTGAATTCAGATTTGGCAGGTTTGTATTCTCAGCACAGAAGTTTACCCAACAGCAGTTTTTGTCAAATAGATATCAGATAGATAATAGATACCTTAAAACATGTTTTTGCTGCATTCAGGCAGCTCTACAGCTGACAATAACAACAGTATTCAAATAAAATATGCAGAGTTATCAAAACTGTTCCGAGTTTGTCTGACATGAATTAATAAAAATAGCTTTAGCCCTTTTTCATCTTACCTTGAGGCAGCTTTTGAATAGTGCATGAAGTCTCTAATTTACCTAGCAAACTTTCAGGCCATTACAGGCTGACACCCATTACAGCAGTCAATTGAGTGTCATTTATCTATTTGAAAACAAAACCCAACCTTTATCAGAAGTATCTACTCAAGATCACTATTCCAACATAAAACCAAAAATAATTACTGTAGTGCCTCCAGCCACAGTTCAATTAAGAGACTGGAGAAATGGATTATAAGCATTTATATATGTGTCTCTCTGTATCTATCCCTAGACACAGGACTAGTTTAGATTATGCTTGCAGAAAGAGCTTTCTGGACTAGCCAAGTTAAGCAACGAATTTGCATCAGAGAATTGTCTTCAGAACTTCCTTCATTTCCTAATGTTCCACTCACAGGAAAGGAATAGACTGGCCCTTAAGTCATTAAAAGCATAAAATGGGATAATTTTACGGCTAACAAGCAGGTCATTTTTATTTGCTTTACTAAGCAGATGCACTACTTAGCTCCTACCTCTAAAGTGTAACATATAAGTGCCTTATTTTATTACCAAGCAATTCAATAGCTCTTCCACTAATCTTTTTTCCCTTCCAATTATACCACTCAGCTACATCACGCAGTATCTGAAGCACTCTCCTCAACATTGGGGGTTCAGGTGAACAATTAGCTATATTGCTTGCAAAAACCTCAAAATTTTAGAGAAATCAAACTTTGAACTGGTAAGTCCCCCAAACTCTCCATGCAGTTTTCTTCAAAAGAGAGGATTAAATTTACCAGACTGAACAGCAGGCTTTTAACAGCTCAAATCTAGATTCCCAGGCCTAAAACAAGGACTCCACTGGATTTTTCCCTTCTTGAAATGACAGCTTTCCTGGCACCCAAACACATTGCTGTGTTTCCTCAACTGGAAACAAATGAACAAAGAATCCAAATAGTCTGGTGAAAGGCTTATGGAAAAAAATAATTTCCACAGCCCCTTCCCGAGATGAATCCTTTCTTTGCTGCACATCAGACAGCCCGTCACAGTAAGGCTTTTCCTTTACTTATACTCTGAAGTGTTGCCTTCCCTCCAGCATACACAAGCCATCCATCTGGAGTTCTCCCACACTGTCTTACTTTAACAGGCTACTTCCATTTCTGTGGCATGAAATCCTTTGTAGAGCTCTCAAAGGGCTAAAAGCAAGACAGTCATCCTTTTGGAACTGTCTTGAACACAAACGCATCTATTTCATCTCTGCAAACTCAGGATTTCTTTTTTGTTTTTTTTAAAGCATGACAAACAGTCGTAGTGTGAAGATGCCTTCTGCCATGGTGACAGAGGCACTGCACAAACTCTGCTAGTTTAAAGTGTCTCATTACTGATCTATGTGCATCACAGTTTAAAATTATGTTTGACTATGGATTCCCAGACACCCAGTGGAAAAGACTGACAAAACCGCTAGAAGACTTCTAGATGTCTAACAGGCCACCTAAACCCAGCACGAGTCACCATTACTAAAGCTGAGGCAAATATTCCTACTCATCTAGGAAAAAGTGTTCACTATTATCCAGCAATTACTTCCACATTGGAAGTCTTGCATCTGCAGTGTTCTTTCAAGCGAGAGAACAACTTCATTTTCAATACTGAGTCTTGTTGCTCTTCTCTGAAATAACCTCTCCCCAACTTGTATTCATCATCACATAGCACCCAAAACTGACAACAGTACAGATGACATCTCGCAACAAGCACAGCACCAAGCAGAGCAGGATAATTACCTCCTGTGCCTTGCATCTGACACTCTTCTTATGTACATGCAAGGTTCCTCTGCTGCTGATGTCCCCAGACCTCCCCTGGAATTTAAAGAATACTTACATACAACTTCAGAAACTTAGCGGGCTGGCCAAGAGTTACCTGCGATACAGTTTAAAACTGAAAAATGTTTTCCTTAGGTACCAACCACATAATCATTGGCTTCATACTGCTGCTCATTTACCCCCCTTAGTTGCATTGCTGTGTTTTTAGTTATAGTTCTTCTCAGGTAGGCTGAGGAAAACACTGGGATTTACATTTGGACAGAACTGACTGCTCCTACACAGCACATCAGCAAGTAATTAAGGTTAGAGGACACTTTCTCTAGGACTCTTCTAGTGGCTTTTTAATCAGAATGGCTTTAAGTGCTTTACGAAGTTCAAAACCAGTTTGATTTTACACTAGATAGAAAATTATTCAGAAGAATGTTATGTTAGCATTTTCTTACTTTGGATCTAGGACTCTTAACATCATTGCCTTAACATAAAGTGGTCAGGAAATACAGTTATAAGGGTGTGAAAGCAGTACCACAGCATTACTTCAGAACTTTTTGTATTGATGTAATAAAAGAAAAACATTTAAGAAAACTTTTTTCCCCCTTCTCTCACAGTTTAATTTTTTTATTATTATTATTGACCCAGCCTTGAATAATGCTGCTTATTTGGTAACAATATCAGGCAAAAACAAGAGCAAGTGCCATTCTGCATTCCAATCAGAATCATTCAATAAAGTTTTGCAATATATACATTTTATCCAGCTTCTGACATTATAGGTCACCATGCCAATGAAGATTTTTAACAATACAATAAAATCCTTCAAATGGAACTGTTTATGAATGTAATTCAAGAGACAAGACAACTTAATTTCTGAAATTTATATCACTCATGTCCATAATAATTTTACATTCCACACTTCATGCTCTCAAACATTACCCTAGAGAAGACTAAATCTTTTTGTCATATATACTATTAAAGACACTAGTCAGGTTTATAGAGTTACAGAAGACTATAATAAGATGGAAAATTTAGTAGGTAATAAGTTATGACATTTGCTGACTAAAACAATATTCAATCTACACTAATGTTTGATCCATTCAAATACAGTAAGTATTTGGATGTTATGTACTGCCTATTCCATATACTTACAGTGCAAAATAAGTGAGAATTTTTTTCCTGAGCATTTAGGAAATTAAAATCCTTTTTCTTTGTCATTTATTGTAATCCATTTAAAATATACTCCCTATATACCTAGGCTTGTCAAGACTGTACAATTAAGACAGGCAAAAGTTTGTAGATATCAGAAGCCCAATCAGAAATCAGAAGGGTTACTGAACATCTATAAAATTTGACCCCATTTTTCAAGTCTAAGGATATAACAGGATTTTGACTTATACCAAAAGTTCACAAATTGTGTCTTTTTCCATTAACCAAATACTCCAAAACATACAAACCACATGCCTTCCAAAACAGAGAAACAGCCTCTATTTAAACAAATTGTAATACTTATTTCAACTTACTATTTTGTAGTTAATGTAATGCCCAGTGAGCTGTGCCTCCAACAGACATAAGAGTAAAACTTTTAGGAATGTATTTTCGGCATTTTGTAAGGAAGCTGGATTTCTTACAAGTTCATCTTTTTCTCAATAGCTACAGACCATGAGTTTCTAATTCAATCTTCTCCTCTGTTTGCAAGATATCAGGTTCAACTGGAGGAACAGGTGGTCTGAGTATAATCTCCGGACCTCCACCATAGATTGACTGAAGAAAATTCCATGTTTCTTCGGATATTTGTCCAGAATCTGCACCTGAAAACATTTTTTTTTTTTTTTAATTTTAAGTACTATTTAGAATTATTTCATTATTTCTTTGCAGTCCATAACAGAGAGAAAAAAAAAAGGTTAAAATTTAAAACCCTAAACTTGTGCTTTATCATCTTGCACCAAGTACAAGACCCAATGACACATTTGCATTAACACACTGGCTAATTTGCTATCTATTGTTGATTCTAAAACTTACTTTTGCTACACATCAGTCAGATGCTTTATACCTTGTATTTGAATTCTACATTCGCACTTCAATCATTAAATTGTACTCCAAAAGTCATGAGTGCAAGAACTCATTCTTTTCTAAATACACTCTTGACATTTTACAATTGGTGAGGTATATGCAGGGCCTAGTGGCCTCCAGTGAACTGCCAAGTATGCCACTGTATGCTGTGGCATTAAGTTAAATTGCGGAAAAATCCAGTTAAATAAAGGTTGCAATTTTATTTTATTTTAAGCTGAGCTTCAATGAATTTAAATATTCATAGGAAGTCTAAGTCTTCATAAAGCAGGCCATATTTATAGCTACAGCGAAAAAAAATCCAATTTCAAATAAGTGATATTAAGCATCTGACTGTGAAGAATAACAAAGAAATCTGTATCTTTGCACCCTAGAGAAGATTTTGCAGTGTAGAGTGGCCAGTAACTTGCAGGAAAATGAGCAACAGCATTTATTTACCATGGTTTATTTCCCCATGTCAGAAGTAGCTCTCACTTCAAATTAGGTTTCAAGATTCAAATAACTGCATACAAATATACAACAGTCTAAAAGCCAAGCCTCTCCCAATTTACATTAAGAAACACAAATCAGACCAAGTGATAAAAAGCCAAAGCACACTTTCACCATTTTAAAGTTACTCTGCACCTCCTTCTACACTTTTATCTGCACTTCGATCAGTCTATCACAGATACTAATTCTTTATTTTAAGAATAAGATGGTCCCCCCAAAATGAGCACAACAGAGATTCACTAGGAATTGCCATTCTATGGTAACAGTTAAAAAAAGGATCCATAATAAGTTTTACCAGCTTCAGCAAATGCATCATAAGAAGCCCCAGGCTGCAGCAGTATTGGACACCTACCTTGTTTTAGCACAGCATTCCCATATTTTGTTACTGCAATCTTAGCGTTATCAATAGGACCAGGAGGATCTAGTGTGACAGAAAGATGATTAAAATCGGGAGAGCTGAAAACAAAGAGCGGGTTGGATGTTCTGTTTCCAAATGGAAAGAGAAATAGCTTGTTTGTTTACTGCTTGTTCTTGTACTGCTTAACAGTACGTTCTAAGTTGTTAAAAGCTACTTGGAATTAATTTAGTTAAGAGCAATTCATGATTACAGTAAGTCTTCAAGAAACATAATACAAATTAATCCCAATTCTTATGCCTAACAAAATTGTCCTAGAGCAGACTCGGATTGGATTGTAGAACATTTTATCAGTGTCTCCATTTCAGAACTTCAGAGGCATCTAAAGTAGGCTAAAGTGATACTATTATAGTTCTTACTCAGTTATCTATGAGTTTAGGTTGTGACAGTGAGGTCACCTTCCCTCCAGAAGCTGTAGCATTATCTACCAACTCGCACAGCAAAATCCGTCCTCCCTTGTACTTACAATTTTCCTGCTGCTGCTAACAGCAAACCCCTGCAAACAAGCAACATCCTTTCCACAACTTTCCACTATCCATTTTTGTGAACTATTTGACTATTCTGTAGTTTGTTTCCTGGATATATTGGTAACCTATAAAACCTGTGTCTTAGATGTTCATTTAAGAGCTTTTGTTGCCTTCTCTATCTGTTCTTTCTAGAGCCTTCAACCAGAGCAAAAGCAATTTACTTAACCAGTACCGCTAGATGACAACAAAAAAGATTAGTTATGTTTTGAAACAGAGCACAACTTACCACTGTCTTTACCCTTTACAAATCCTTCCCATTCTCTGAACCATTGCATACTGATGCAGTAAAACGTTGATGGAGATTCTTCTTCTTGGAATGCTCTATTAAGCTGGAAGGAAAAAAGAATCCATGTGTTTCTGCCTTTTTTTTTTTTCCTTTAAACTACAGAATTCTTTTAACCACTAAAATTATTAATATATTACACTACTTATAATATTACACTGCTATAGAACATTTTAAAGAACTACTGACCACCAGAACACCTGGTGAATTCCCAAGGTGAGATTTTGATATAGTGGTAGCCTTCATATTAAAAGATTATTTACTTGAGATTTATTTTTTTCTGAAAATAGCAACAAGTTCTTCTTATGCACAAGTGCTTACTCGTCAAACAGTACTGGATAATTACTGTGAAGGCTGAACTTTCAAGTAGCAAAAGAAAGCAGAAAACTTATTTTTGTCAAATAAAATAAAACAGTGTTTTGAAAGATTTGCTCTATAATTTTATGGAAGCTTCTTTGTGTGATGAACTATATCTTCATCTATGTTTGTTTTTCCCCTAATACTTTGAACGGATGCCAGTATGATTCCAAGCAAGGCACTTGGGTCTTTTCATGACTTTTCTTTGTGTCAGTTTAAAAACAAACAAACAAAAAAACCCCCACAAAAACCAAAATATTTTTTGTTCCTACTGTTTTAAAATTAGAGAAAAAAAAAAAACTTTTTTAAATCACATCCTGGTTTTCTGAGTTGCTATTACAGGGAATGTAGGTGACTATAAATTACAAAAAAACAGCTAAGTAAGGAGTCTTAATTGCATTTAACTAAATTTGTTTCTATAATTGTAAGAAAAATATTTTTCTAATTAAGATTTTAGGAAGCTTAACATTTTATTCTTTTCCTGAGACTACAGATCTTTTCACAAGGTTATTAAGAAATATGCAAGAAGTCACTTAAACCTTTAAAACCATTATCTTTAGCTCTGTAATAACATAGCTATACTTCCCCCTTGAAGCTATGAACCTAAAGCATCAACACAACTTCTTAAGGTTACAGCTAGAGCAAGTTTTGCAATTATTCCCTAAAGCAATCTTTATAGAGGATAATAGAATTTTCTGTCTGCTAACCAGTAACAATACCTGCACAATAGTGCACATATTATCATTGTTTATACTGGAAAAATACTGATCACTAAAGCAAATGAGGTTGACTCAATGTTGTTAATAATTATTATTCAGTGGTAAAACAGACTAAAGAAAAAAACCCAATTACTAAAAAGTTCAAATAGCAGTTAAAATATGCAAAAGCTGACACAATCTCTGAAGTGTGATAAAAGCACAGATAGAATCATTATTATTAGTTTTCTTACCATTCAGACTCATGAACATAATCTCTAACTAAGGAAAAAATAGTAGATGCTTGATATTAATTTTACAGATCCATTACAATGTTAAAGTATTTACTTAAAACTGAATTATTCATGTTTGTTTATGTATCTAATGATATTTTTAAAATCAGAACTAAAGATTATTATTAACTTTTTGCTGGCACAGTATTACTGTCCTTAAACCTTATCAAATTGCACAGAACAGATCACTGGCAGTGTATAAAGAACAACTACTCATGTGGCTGCACTCTGTTTCCATACTATAAAAAAGCAATTTAAGAAATACATTAAATATTTTCTCTAAGTACATTTCCTTATAAAGTTACCTGGGATATCAAAAGAATGTTAGCATTACCTACAGGAAAGAAGGAATTCGATATAGATTTACAGATATTTAATAAAGTCCATTTGTTACAGGAATCACCTATGCACTTCTGGTAACCCCTTGGGTCAAGTAATGAATATCAGGTGGTGTTGAAAAGCAGAATGAATAAGTGTTTACTTTTTTACCCGAATAAACATTTCCAATTCATTTTTCCTTCTTTTTTCAGTTCTTTCAGACTCTATTTGGCAGGTGTGACAAACATACAGATGGTTAACAGCTGGTCCTCCTCCATACCTGAAGTAAAAGTTTAAAAAAAACCAAAAAAACAACCCAAAACATTAACTTTGTGGAAAATACCATGTAAAAAGATCACGCACCTGTAGACATCACAAGTGTCAGCTTCTTACAATATGCAACAGAAGTCTTATACATGTCAGTCACACTGATCCACAAATGCAATCACTTATTTTCCCAGTAATATTTTTCCTTCTTTTAAGACATCTTCCAAGTTCTGACTACCTAAAGCCAGTACAAACCATCTCAAACTCTGCTGTATTACATACTTCAAAAGCCATTATTATGGAAAGAACATGGCAGTGAGCAAGTATTCCATTACATATCCACACCATGCATGATTTTATTAAGGGCTTCTAAGAAACAGCTCATGTAAATGTTCCAGCCAGTTCTAAAACATGTTCCTCCATTCCAGTGCAGGTTTGTCATCAGTTTGCCAGCTCCCCAACACTAGCCTCTAAACTTGTCTATTGTTTTGTTCTTAAAAAGTTATTCTCTGTGACCTCCATATTTCCTGTGTGTGAAACTACATACATGGAAGCCTTCAGGAGCACTGCTACTGAGAAGCAAAGGAGATATCTATAAAAGTTATTCTCTGTGAATATATATATATATACACACATATATATATATATACACACACACACACATATGTGTCATTATGAACACAGGCAGCATTTGCTAGCCTGAAAAAGACAAGCCTGATAAAGAAAATATTCTTGGATGACTAGCAGCCTTAAGAGATGCATTTACTACAACAGAAAGAACAAGTTAAAATATGCATTGTGATAAGGTCATTCCTGGTAGGATACCTGGATACTTCCTAGTTGAATAATTATTTTTGTCAGGGCTGTGTTCCCTTCCAATTTTGTTTCTCTTCTAAAACCCCAGGTTTTATTCTAAAAATCTTACATTAAATGAGATAAAATAGAGTGCTCTTAAGTACAGCAACATGGATTGAAGTTCAAAATATGAATGTTCTTAAGCATGAGTGAAAATAACTATGTTTACTTAGTGAATAAAATTAAACAAAAATCTGCCATGGAAGGCACTGCTTCCCCCTACCCCCCTTTTAGACTTGTATGTGCGTCAGTCCAGAAAAATAATTTGGGATAGTATTTTTTCCCCCAAGTACAGAAGTGTTGTATTTTAACTGAAAATTCTGAAAATTAAAGCATTATTTCAGTACAACAGCACTTGTACATACAAGTTTTTTTGTATATACTCAATCATCTCCACTTAACAAAGACATACGTTTCCTAAAATCGTCACCTACCACTTCAATAGCACATCTGAAAATGATATGTTGTCTTTAGACTGCCCTGATAAGTTTAGAAGTTTTTAACTGAAATGGAACAAGTATGGATTACACTATATTATCTCAAATCAACTTTGACCCCAAAGTATATGGAATTAAATAGGAGTAGTGCCACATGAGCAGGAAAATAAATGCATTTGGGACATGGATTGGCAATTGGCATCCTAGATGAATATTTCCTTTTCCTTAATACTACCTCAGTAAAAGTCAGCTTTCATCATAGTTGGCTTCCTAACCCACTGCAGCCAGGATACTCTCCCATAATTCCCAGATAACAGCAAGACAAAAAGCAAAACATAGTTGCCAGAGCTACTCTGTGTTGAAGGGTGCATGCACCAGTCAGAAAGCCAGACAAAACAGACAAACGGCAATAACAATTCATATCTGTTTTCTACCTAGTAGATTACTCTCAAAATACGGAGGACCTTATCAGCTCTGAGACTTGTACCTTTCTATCAAATTACTGAGAAGTTTAAGAACATTCTCCTTCATATTTAACAAATGTTTCTACATACAGAAAACAGATAACGCCTTTGTCACAGTTGGAAGAAAAATTCAGTACATCTTGGAAAGTGGAAATAAGCTGGAAATAGTATTGTTTCTATTTTTCACTTGTGTCCATTGAAACTTTAAAACAAAAAACCCCAATCCTTTAGCTACAGGGTTTAGGTGGCAGGAAATTAACAGCTAAAAATATTCAATGCAAGTGCAGTACAGAGTCCTTAAGGTCATCGGCAAAGCTCTTCTGCAGCTTTTTGTTACTTTAAAAGGAGATATATCTTGTAAGAATCCTTTCTTTATAAGCAAGCACTTAAATCTGACCAACATTAAAAAGTGTGGAGTACTTGTACAGAATGCTTAGATAGAAGTTATTTTGAAGCAGTACTGGCAGCTGAGGCTATGGATTCAAAGCCAGCATAAAAGAAAAGCAGTCTCCAGCCAACAAGAGAACAGGAATCTGATACAGAGAGCTCTTTCAAAAGCATACTTTTGCTGACCTACTTTGTGTCATTTTGTACATACCATACATGTTTATTGGTTTAATACTCAAGTGTTATTTCAGAAACATACTACTTTATGTAGTCTTTTAGCACTACTTTGCACAAGAACATTATACAAATCGGCCACTTGCAATCCCTTCGCTTAGCTTTGTGCCCGAAGTGTATATATATGTTTGAGCCACTAATTCTAAAATCTGATGTTGCTGCTTGGCACATATTTGCCCTCAAACCATATCACTGGATTTTTTCCAATTACAGTACAAAACTTACCTGCTATACAGATTGTCCCATATATTTTGAGGTAGCATTACAACTAGGTCTTCTATGAAGTTAGCTTTGTGTGGAGGAACACCTGCAAAAGCAACACCAACAACAACAAAAAAACTTGTGGATTTTATTGGGAGGGCGAGGGGACTATGCTAGAGGTCTCTAAATAAAAAACAAAAACCCCCAAAACCAACCTTTCAATGAATTCAGAGAAATCAGGTGAAAAAAGTTTTACCACAGTATAATCTATTACTGTATTTAAAGAGATCACTCTAATTTTAGTCTTTTATGAGGCTTAAAAGTTTATAAAAAGCAGAAGCAAACTACATGAAAGATTAAAATTAAAGGACTAGAATCCTTTTTTGATACTGACATCAAAATGCTTGAGGCATACAATTAAAATATTAAAGAGTCATTAAATATTTTGTTTATGCATATAAACACATTAGCAAACTGTCTATTCAAAATTAACTTATTTGCTGTAAACCTTTTTAAATTACTTTAAACAATACAAATGCTTGAAAGTAGCAAAATTTCGAGGGAGGCAAAAATAGAGGGGTTTGCAGAATTAGAAGCGTTGAGTTGAAGCACATGGTAAGCAGCAATGTACTCTGCAGGAATTCTTTTGAATAGGGAAAATCTAGTAGTTCAGGCAGTCGTACAACAAGAGTCATCTGCTGTAACCCCACAAAAGGGAAGCCACAGCCACAAGGGCTCAACATGTACACACTCTACAAACTGCTACAGGGGCACAATATTCCTACATTAAAAGTTTGGTTCATCGACAGGGGCAGCACCTCTAACTGCTAATTTAATACAGCTGTATTTTTTATTACAAAATAGGTAGAACACCACCGCATAGTAACGATTTCTTGGAATTTTAGCACTGAAATATGGGTATTTCCCCAAATATGTTTTGCTTAATGTAAGTCTCATTTTTATTAACATTCAGCACAAAGTAAAATTTTTATGTTTCTATACAAAATATACAGAATTACTACTCTATTTTCACACTGCTATGCACCAGATACTCTGCATCAGACCAGTCTCTTGTTCTGCAGCTTTCAAACCTTCCTGTTGCTTCTAGCACATAGCTGAGAAAAAGACTTAGATTGGCAGACCAAAGTATCAAGGATGATGATAGAGTCACAGGATTTTTGGAAATGGGAATATACGTGATTAGGAAGCAAGCAGATAAGCTAAACTGTTCCTCTTTAAGAATCAGGAAAGCTTATAAACAAAATAAAATGTACAGAGAAAAGAAAAAAAAATTAGGAGAACTTCACACAATATAATTTCCAACTAGTCAGCTACTAAAATGAGAGAAATAATATACTTACAAGTTTTAGTTCTAATTTACCTAAGAAGTTATAGAAGTCATACTATGAACTTACTACATTCAAATTCCTTATTTAAAGCAAGCGTACATCCCCGTATAGCCACAAGATGACAGACAAATTCTTTTAAAATGGTACTGAGTTACAGTCTCACCTCCATGCACACAGAGAAAGTCATTATTTGAAATTGGTCCTGGCTCCGCAAAAGTCTTGAATTTATTTAACCACTGTCTGGAAACATAGAACTGCAGAAGACTTGGTTCCATCATATTCAGTAGACCCGATATCCTCCGTCTCTCTCTCTGTGCTTCTTCACTGCTCTTTCTATTACCAAAATATAAATCATTAAACAAATATATATCCTTGTGCACAGTGCAGATAATTTACTTTGTGAAAGGAAAACTGTACTTTCAAGTAAGTTACCTGGGCCATGTCTATACTTCAAAGTTCTACTAGCATGAAGTAGTTGACTTAGCATGTGAAAAAACTTTCACTTTTTGTGCACAGCCAGAGCCACCATCTAAATGTATGGCAGGAACCTAGACTGCCACATTACAGAACCATGTGTCAGAAGAGTCCATACAGTTAGCACAGAGCAAGAAGGGCAGCAAAGTCTACTTGCTCTATTAAACCTATGCTTGCCTTTAGTTCTGACAAGCCATGGCTCAGGTGTTATCATGCTTACAAGAAAAGTTTTTCCTGCTTAGTTAAACAACTCAAAGACCCCTGACAATTCCCATTCAGCCTACCAACCCGAGAAACCAAACAGCTGGACTGCAACAGAGCAGACTCTACTGCAGAGACGATTACTACCACCAGAGGAGATAAGGCCCTGCACATCTGCCCATTTCCTCTCTGCATCTTCTGAGCTAAAGCTTTGCAAGCTGTACTCCTTGGGTAGATATTACTTACTTACCTTCAGAAGTAAGGTTGAACAGTAAGTAGATTGGGTAATTCCCCTACTTTTCCTGTATCCCCCTACTTTTCTCAGTGAGGCTGTTGCTGCTGTCCACCTGGAAGTATCACTGCTCTCCTGTTTTTATATTGAATAAAATCTCTTCTCCAAAAGCAGGTTTGAACTAATCATTCCATCCGACAAAACCCTGATCTGAAACGTCAGTCAGCATCACACAAAAGCTTGGCCACCTCAGTTAATTTACAGAGTCAAAGTTGACTCAAATAGCTGATAGAAAAGCTTCACGTAGACCTAATGGCTATAGCAATAGGGCTATTTATATAATAGCAAAACAAGACTAAGAGTAGAAAAAAACAAATGCTCTGAACCCAATTAACCCAATTACCTGTTTAAATTCAGATCAAAATTATTAAACACAAACCTTAAAAGTCTTAAAATGAAATTCAAGTTCACTTTACAGCTGTAATTTAAAAATGCATACATATCTCCACTAAGCTTTCTAAAATGCACCAAAAGAACACTTATTTTGTATGTGTGGTAGTGTTTTGTGGGTATATTCTTTTTTAAAACCAAATTTTATTAATGCTATTCTTTTGTTATTTATTTTAATATGTTTGCCCACAATCAGGTTCAGTGTTCTTGGCAATACAGCATGACTTCCACATTACTTTTGAAAGAGCTACTGAGTCAGGCTTAGCTCAGACAGTGGCAGGTATGAGTGCTCCTCATGAAACATTATCAGAACACATCTCATTTCTTGTGCAACTCTGACACAATCTATTTTGTGGTCACCTTTTAGTGGAAATTTGATATTAGTATGAGAAATTTTGAACTTGAAAATTGAGTTAAGTTGCTTTTATTATTTCAAGCACAAAGATTCCTTAGGCTGAAGATGACAATAACATGACTTCTTGCCTTTCATTTCAACTTTCAGGAAAAGACCAGCCTATAAATTCCCTGAAATTAAATTACAACACAGTAAAACCTCTGTTGTTTGGCATCCCATCTGCTAAAGACTTTACACAATTCCCTTTAGAGCTTTAACAGTTGGAGTCTCTATGCAAAACCACCTTGTGTGCAGAATTCCTTTCCTCTAATTGAAAAGAAGGTAATTGGTGGCCAGTTCTAACAGATGCTTAAAGTTCTCTGTCTAGTCATCTAACTACACTTTATTTATGCAGATTTAACTTTCAGTTTAAGTTCTACACATGCTTTAGCAGTGACAGAGCAAGTGTTTAGAACATAACTGAAGGATTAAGTCTCTCTCCAGCACAGGCTTTTCTGGTTGGTCAAATTCTTCCATTACAATTCTTGTGGGGCAGCTCATTTCTGAAAGTTGCCCAAATGCTTGAAAATTTATTTACATATCTGACTAATATGAGTATGATTGTACTTTTCATTTCTTACCTGTAGAAGAGAACATAGGCTTCTGCATTTTGAACTGTGGATTCTGATACTTCTGTGACACTCTGGTCATCAAATTCATACCACAAATTATTTAAATTGTTGCGACAATAAGCTATATAATGTCCACCTAAAGTGTTAGAAGCAAGAGTTATTTAAAAGTGTCCAGAGCTGCCTACTTACTTCCTTTTCATGTATTGCATACTAAGTCCAAAAACAAAGCAAGTCTTAAATGGGAAAAACATTAAATCATTAAGCAGACAGGGTCTGGATATTCTCTCAGACTCAGGATCAGCTTTTTTTTTTCCTGAATTTCTATCAGCTAGTGGAAACTTGAACACCACTTTCAGCATATTCTTGAACTCTTCAAACGGCTTGTTATCTAATGTTTTCCTGAAACATGATATTCAAATCTGAACAATTTATGTTAATCACGTTCCACAATGAACTTGAACTTTGAAATCTTTGTATGCTTTATAATAGAAATAAGCATAGATGTGTAACACCTACATGATATCAAGGCCATACTTCACTGTGTTTTGAAGACTATTCATAATATATTTTAAATTATTTTTTAAAATACATATTCAACTGTCAATAATTAAATAATCAAGTATCTACTAAACTGATTATGAGAAGTCATTCAGCAAGCATTAGAAGATGAAAAAGCATCCAGAAAAAATGGTAACAACTTAATCTAAACAACGGATACCTCAGGTTTGGGGAGTAGGAGAGGGTGTGTAATTTCTGTTAAAAAAATCTATGAAATTTCTGGCTTCAAACTTTTCTTTCTCCTATTTTCAAAGTCTTATAAATACTGAAAGCACTCAGGCAGGAATGAGCTTAACATATAGCAATAAGACATTCATTCAGCTACTCATCACTACCCATAAATAGCAGTTACTGCCTGTTTTGGGGTGAATTGGCAGCAATCATCCAAGAGAACATTTTTTAAAAAAAATAAATTACTGGCATCTTTGTGGTGCTTTGTAAACTCTTTTCAAAAGAGTAAGTCATACAAAGCACCAAAACTCTGGACAAACAACAGCTGTGTAGAACAGCTGATCAACTGGTCATCTGCTGGTATGTAACATTATATGTAAGTTTATACTGTTCACTTTCAATAGTGCATATAGTTTTTTTACTTAATATCTCAGGATCTGTTAAATTTTTTTCTACCTACAATTTTATTTAGGTTCGCCATACAATTTCAAAGATGTGTCAACTCTTTAAAAGCAAGCCACCTTATGGTTCAAGGTAAAAATCACAGTATTTATCTTTCACATTAAAATTACCAGTGCTCATCTATTTACCCTTCAGTATATGGATATTATCCTTAAACAGAAGTGCTGATGCGAATATCAACTGCAAAGAAGAAACAATCAACCTCATACTTACTGCTGGCAGTTCCATGATGGCAGATGACAGACAGGAGATCATAAGTCACTATTTGAGCTGGACTGTCCTTCGCAAGGAAAGGCTGAAGATCAAGGCCTTCCAAAGGAAAGGACACATGGGTCCCAATTTTTGTGGAAAACATAAGTTCATGTCTAAATCTTTTGAGATGAATGCACAATATCTGTAAAAGGGATTGACAGATTCACTCAAAAACTATACATGCTACTATTTGATACTTATAACTATGCTGTGCATGCTACCTTTTCCTTTTATCATCCCCAAAGGATCACAGAATCATAGAATTGTCTGGGTTAGAAGGGACCTTAAAGATCACCTAGTTCCAACCCTCCCTGCCATAAGCAGGGATACCATCCACTAGACCAGGTTGCTCAAAGCCTCATCCAACCTGGCCTTCAACACTTCCAGGAGGAGCATCCACAATTTCTCTGGGCAACCTGTTCCAGTGTCTCACCACCCTCACAGGAAATAATTTCTTCCTAATGTCTAAGCCAAAACCTGCCCTCTTCCACTCTGAAAGCCATTACCCCTCATCCTATCACTCCCTGCCCTTGTAAGAAGTCCCTCCCCAGCCTTCCTGTAGCCCCTTCAGGTGCTGGAACGCCACTATAAAGTCCCCACAGAGCCTTCTCTTCTCCAGGCCAATAATTTTTCTCTATGGCCTGGGACAATGATCACAAACTCTGTACTCCACAGGTTTTTTTTATTTTTTTATATCAATTGTGGCTCAAGAAGTTAGAAGTGAATTCGTAATTATCAAAGACTTCTTACTGAGAGTATTAAAAAAACCAGTCCTGAACAGTTACTAACACTGATTCAGCAACGAACAACAAAACTATTCCTCAATACACCTATTGCACAATCTTGTCACAAGGGACATTAACTCTTCCTGATTATTGCAGCCATCAACTCATGTCTTGAAGTGTAAGACTGGGTTACTTTTAAAATGTAAAGTTACAAGCACTACTTACAGAAAAGATTACCAGATGGCTGTGGTATTTAACTTTATTATCTACAGTATAAATAAGTTGTGCAGGCTGATAGTAATAATGTAGAAAAACTCCATTTTTCTAACTTTTCATGTACAAGGTTCAGTTTCTTACAGGGTGAATTATCAAATACTGCTCACATTCTTAAAACAAATGCCAATATGAAGATACACTCTCATCATATATTATAAACACATTTTACTCCATACAACTCACTAGTCCTAACACAATCCTAACCATGCAGAAAAAGTGCTTTAAAGTGCATGTAGTAACAGTACCTCAGGAAATTTTTGCACTTTGCAGAATTTCACTCCATTTCTTAACCTAAGCAAATTAAAAAAAAAACAAAAACAAACCAACAGTAAAACAACCAGTACTTAGTTCTGAGAAGTTTTTATTTTATTGTGCTAGATCAGCAAAAGTCTAAGCTGAACATTACATTAGCAAACCCAAAATATTTCTGGAATGTATACTAGACATGAAGTAGCCAAAATGATACAAACAACGACACTTCAGAAGAAAAGAATCTCTACTGCTGAAAAATTCAAAGCACCAAGTACAGATAATCAAGTTCCATCTAGCTAACAGCTCCTCTTAGCATAAAGGAAAGAACTTTAAGCTTCATGAAAGCTGATTATTCAGCAAAAGAGAAAAAGAAAAAAAAAATAAGCTTATTTAAGAAATTACCTATGGCAGATCACCAGTAATATAGCAAGAAATAACACTCCCTTTCCATAAAGGGCTTCAAGCAGTCTTCAGACCACTTCTATTTCTTGGTTCTTTAGCATTTAAAGTTATAGTATATTTATTTAATACATTGAAGTGAGCTACAGTATAGCAATGAAACCTGCTAGTAATATGGAGGGCTAAAAGCTTTTATTTTATCAATCAAAAACAATTTAGAAAGGTCTAAAATTGTAAGGAACACGAAAAAGAATTAAGCACATTTGATTTGCAATATTGTACAGTGAGTCAGTGCTTCCTGACTTCTGCTCCTTTGTAATACTAAAATTCTTACAGCCAGAACACAAGGTAGTATCAAAAGATTAATAGTACTGTGACATACCCAACAGAAATAAGTGTCTCTTGACTAGCAGAAGCAGTAAAGCACTCAAATTAAGAAAGTTAAAACAAACAAAGGTAAAAAACAGCTTACTTTTTGCACCTTCCACAGCTGTACATATTATCACCTGCATATATTAGGGAGAAGAAAAACAGCTGTTATTCTCAAAATCCAAACAGTTATTCTTCGAGTGCATACATTTGATACATAAAAGTTTCAAAGGAATTTATCTTTAGGTTGTATTCAATATTTAACAGTCATAAAAGTGTTGACATAGCAGCTAAATAGAAAGGTTCTTAGATTTTATGCTTTAAACTATGAAGCAGTACAGTATAATCAGAAGAGATGGTGCTATATAATTTAAAAGGGAAATAATTTACTAAGTTCAAATTAAGGTTATGAGAAAGAGTATTAATATAGTGGGTTTTAAAATTTTTTTGAACCTTTGGTCAATACCATTTCATTAAACCAAATTCAGATTTACTTGACATTTCTAAAGCAGCTTTCATGTGCATTTCTTGCACAGTTGAGGGAGAAGCTTACCTTTTTGAAATGAATGATCCCATAAGAGCAAGGAATGACTGCACTACAGTCTAACAGGTGGCTTTTGCTTAATTGAGAGAAGCTAAAGAGATATTAATCATCTTATTGTGATAGGAGGAAAAAAAACTCAGAAGAAATATGTTCATGTAATGAACCTCTTACCCTTGAGCTCATCTCTGGCGAAAAAGGCAGCAAGACAATCTTGTAAGGTTACAACTGGACCCCAAAACCAGCTAGGAACACATGAGACAACAAACCTGAAACATCATTGATAGAAAAGAAAGAAAACCAACAAATGTTCTGCCAGAAGAGCAGAAACTGGAATTTCAAAATAGATAAATAAATAAAACAAGGTAAATATTACTTACCTTTTGAAATATTCCATAAAAAAAGCTATCCATCCCTGGGGGGCATATGTTTCTCCACATGATCCTGCTTTGACTAGAGATGTCTGATGACTTGCAGAATGGAGTTTAGCAAGATCTTCCTTACCTGGAATAGGCAAGGACAGATCCTGAAAGGTCTCCAGGGTTACAGACAGCTAAAGGAGAAAACAAATGAAACAATACAGTTAACCTTGAAGAGAAACAAATTATATTGAATTCTGTAAAGTTCACCAGTAGCTACTAAGTCACTGTATAGTTGAAAATTCCACTGGGTAGCAAATTAGTTATAAATAAGTAGATGTAAGAATTCTTTTTCTAAAAAAAGGAGGAAGAAAAAAAATAACATTTTAGAGAGAACTTGCACATCGTTATTGCTGTAACTTTTTTCTTTTTTTTTTTTTTAGAGTTATTAATTATTTGTCTTCCTACTAGTCATACAAAGCACTATGATTTTTGCCTCAGGCTCCTGTTATACAAGCTAGTTTCAGAAAACTTCAGCCCATTGTTTTGACAGCATTTTACTTTGACACTATCTTGACCTGATGTAAATGGACCTGCTGCAAAAGAGACCCAGCTATGCATTTTCTTTCTCCCACGCTGGATTTAGTGATCACATAGTCAGAGTAAAACATAAAAAAAACCTAAAAAAAAATCTTATTTGTTTTTTTGAACTTGCTCACCAGATTACCCTGAGGTCTTAGTATTTTTAGGTCTAAAGCAAGGGAAGCAGTAAGGGCATACAACTGCATCAGGGTTAGGTTTAAACTTTATGTTGAGAAACTTGTCCCCAATGCAAAAATTTGGATATCTAATATTTGATACTATTGCTTTGAAACTAAAGTGGTCCACTAGATATGCTTAGATAATTGACATTTTTTAAGTGATCATCTGTGGTGTTCTACGTAATTCTATAAGCAAATAGCACAGAAAAAAAAATAATCTGTTCCTATATTGTACCACATCTTGCAGCAGAGGAAAGTAGTTACTGATTCATATAACCTGTAAAAGTGTCTCTTTACCTGGATTTTTTGAAAGACATTAATTTTTCTTAGCCTCAATCTACCTGATAAGACTGTTACAGCAGTATGATTGCACTGCTGTCTTTTCTTTGTAGCACTTTGTATCTGAGAACTTACAACAGTAGCAGGTATGTGTTAGGATATTCAGAACATTACTAGAAACTAATCATACCTAAGTGAAGTTGAAGACTAAGCTTCTTTCTCCATCCTTGCTATAAACCAATTCTCAAAATGATATTTTTCAGCTTTGAGTAAATATCCAGCTCAATGACAGCAAGCTAGTGTAAACACAAAGTGCTGGTAGTAGCTGCTATTACTATTTGAGTGAAAAAATATGAAACAACCTAGCCTTCCAAGGAAGTCTGCCACAAAAGAATTAAGTCACCAGAGAACAGTATTTATAAAACCAGTAAATATTTGTGGTGGGAGAAATAAACATTAAAAGCTAGATCTTCCCCTCCTTACTCACTCGATCACAAGTCAAGCACTGCACTGAGCTTATAATAGTCCCATCAAATATATCCGAGATAACACTCCTGTACTTCTTGCGCTTCTTCCTTTTTGGTGATGATACAGTCGAAACTATAAAATGACAAAAATAAAATGCTGAAAGTAAATCAAGATACAGTGAATTCTGATTTCCTTCAACTTTGCATAACATCATTAGAGATCGTACATATTTAGCATTAAATTATGAGCCAAGCTCTGTTTTCTGTTTATTAAATATTTTTTAGAAATTACAGATTACTGTTAGTACCAGGTAATTCTCATAGGTTCCTCAAGCTGTTTATGACAGACAAACACCAGAAAATTTTGTCTCTATTTAAATAAAACTCAAATTGCCACTCTTGAAATCTGCAGCCTACTGCTTTAAGATTCATCTTGGCAGGAATCCCCCAAGGTATACATTTTAAAAGGCACATTCTATCTGACATTTAATTTGATCACATCTTTCCAGGAAGTTTTAACCATGTTGGGCTGAAAAGCTCATACACAACCTGATTGCATCACAACATTGATGACAGTGGATTTAAGGAGACTAAATTCACTACTAGAGTCCAGCCTAACAGCTGCTTATTAAAAAAATTAAAATCAAGTAAAACTCCAAGCCAATAACAAGTGCTCCTCACACAAATCCACTAATTAGATAAACACACCACAGCAGTCTCTTGGGCTCTATAGATTACTGGCATGGTAGGCTATAAGGAAGACTGCAACACCTCTTCTCAAGTCAGGACGTTACCCAAGAGACCACTCAAAAGTCTTGCAGGAGTCAAAGGCAAACTCTGCCAAAATGCTGACAGCCAGTAACGAGACAGGCAGTGAAACACAAATAATTTCAGTGAAAAAGAGATGTCTAAAATAATAGAAGTGTCTGAATTCAAAACTATCTCCACCAGAAAGAACAGCTGTTAGAAGTAACCTGAAAAATCCTCTTTTCTACAATGCATCAGGTATGTTTATTTATCATGGACACAAACTGCCTCATACAGCCTTTTACCCAGAATTCTTTAAGGTTCCTTTCAATCACTTATTTTCTCACTAAATTCCTTTAAGATGGTTCTGAAGTCTTCATTTATCAGTGATGTGGAAGATGTGCTATATTTATCCACGCTAACAAACAGCAGTAATAAATGGAAGACACTGACAAGCAGGGGCATCTTAGAATTGCGGCACCTCACAGACACCACATGCTTTCAGCAAGGGGGAAATGGAAGAGAGTAAGGGAATAGGTGTGTTGTAATTAGGTATTAGCCTCCAGACACAGGTCCTAGAATGCTAGTGAATTCTCTTAGCGTTATAGGGAATTAAAAAAACCCCACGCTGTAAGCTTGCAAATGGCTGTCACTACTCCCCTGGTCAGTTCTACTGCATACATATCTGTTCCCTTAATACTCAATAAAGATGACCAAGTGTAAATTATTAGTAAGTGACAAAAATCAGTA